TTTCAAGAAAGTATACTCTGAAGAGACAGTGAGAAATGGATTAAATGGAGCAAGTATTGTTTATTTGTTTGCATTTAAAATAAAAGATATAGGGAGTGTTCGTATACTGCTGGGAATGATACATTATAGAGAGGAGATTTACTGATGTCAGAAAGAAAGGAAAGAAGTTAAGGGAGTTGCCTCTGAGGAGGTGAGATGGATGTGATTTAGGGCAGTCTCCTCAAAGGGGGGTCCAAGAATGGCACCATGAGCATCAGCCATGAGATGGTCAGAAATGCAAGTTATGCTAGAGCTAATGTCAAACTCTCAGGGTAAGACCTAAAAACCTGGGTCTTAAGTTTTCCAGGTAATTCTTATGCATGATGTCTGAAAGGTACTGAGCTAGTACACAGGCGAGGGATCAATCTTACCTAGGAACAGACAATTTATCCATGCCAACAGACGAGAGGGTAGTGTATATGAGCACAGACAAGCTGGGTAAGTAGATATGGTGGTAGGACCTTATCGAAGTTGTCTTGTAATTGCTTTGGCTTTCCAGTGAAGAAGGAAGCAAGAACGTTCATTCCTTTTCTCTACTTTGAGTTGGACTATTAGCTCCAGAGACCCACAGTGATTTTGTGTCACTCCGAACAGTTGTATGATTCTCTTCATTCACTGTGACTAAGTGGAAAGTCAGCATGTACTTTAAGCCCAATTCAACTACCCTAGCAAAGACACAAACTTCCCACCTTTCCAGGGCCTAATGTTCCTTAAACTGACCTACACTTTCTGGCCCTGTGCCAATCATGCCATTTCTTACCAAAGATAGGAACGCCGTTTATAGAGCATCTGACAGGCTATAGGCATTTTCAAGTATATTCTCTTATTCAGTCTAATAATCCCTCCACAGATACATGAATCCCTTATTTTACAGATGAGAAAATGAGGACTCAAAAATGGAGCTGTTTATTTACCTGACCATTCATATATCTTGCCTCCTCCACCCCAAAGTGATTTCAACACAAGCGCTCTGTCTCCCACCTTCCTCTTTTTAGACCACTCTTCCTCCTTTTCCTACTTAAGTTGCTAACAAGAGTCCACTTTGTTTTTCTAGCAGTCACTCTGGTTTAACTGTTCTTTAGCCAATTAACACAATTCATCTTTCAGTATTCTACCCAGTTGCTACCCTCTTCCTCTCCTCCTGCTCCTTCTCTGCTCTTCTTTCTTCATCAATAATTTCTTCGCCCTCTACAGTTGGTCTTGACATCTAATATTCCATTCTCCTCTCTTCCTCAAGCCATTCAAAGTTCAAATGTTTTAAATTACAATGAAGTACATGCAGACAATTCCTCCTTAAATGTTGTATTGTTTAACAAGTAATCTCTCTTTTTTCCCACTTTTCTTAGTCAAAGTTTTCTACCATATTAATGTGGCCATCCATGTGTTTGACTTTTCCATATCTGCCTAAGTCGAGTTCCTCAGAAACTCACACACACTTACTACACAAATAGCCCCCAAAAGAGAAAGTGTATCGAGCATTAAAGTAACGTTAATAAACTTCTGTGCTCTAAGTCAAGGAAAAAAATAAAATTCCAATGACAATATATGCCAATATTATATAAGATATTGTCTTTTTTACTCAGTATTTATTTGCTTATTATTTATTAAATAGGTTTATCATTAAGTATGCTCTGAATAATAAGAATACAGGCTACTGTAAGATCTAATTAATCAATATTAATCAACATATTTCAGCATCCCATTAGTAATAATGAACTTGGTAGGTTTTATAATTATTGATCTACATTGAACTTATAAAATGAAAAGTATATAGTCAGGTCGTATTTTCTGTGAAATTACTCGTTACTAATAATTTCACTATTTACTGGTGATTTGAGTTGTTTTCGTTTGTTATTTTTAAACAAAAGTGTATAGGAATTACGTAAAGGTAACTAAATCTAGAGATTATCTTGAATTAAACTCTAAATAAAACCATTGGTAGTTTTAAACTAAACATTTTTGTCATCTGTGTAGGACATATTATTTTTTTGAGGCCATTAAGGTTGTGTGGTCTAGTGAAATTAACTTTTTTCTGAACTCCAGGGACTCTACTTAACACAGGCAACTCACATCCAGTATGTGGCAATAAACCCTATCTTTCTAAAGTTATATTTCTACTTTTATTTCTCATCCTGATGAACACCATTTACCACCCAAACACCAAACTTGAAAATTTCCCCCAGGTAACTTCTCCCTCACTCCTCACATCTACTCAATCACAAAGTGCTGTCAATTCTACCTCAAATATTTATGGAATCCCTCCTTTTGAACTCCACAGACAGCCTCTTATTCTGGGTCCTTATCAAGTCTTGCCTAAACTATGAGAATATCCCTAAGTGGCCTTCCTGTCTCTGATATGTTCTGTTGTTCCTGCAATCCTCACCTGTCTAGCCTGCATCATAAAAATGCCAAAGTAGTCATTTCACATAAAACTAATGACTTCATTGCTTTGCTTGAAATTCTTAAATTACATACAGGATACCATACAGACATCTTTGGGTGACCCTGAAGCCTGGGAGCTGATCACTAAAATTTCCGGCCTCATCTCTTGCCACTTACTCCATGACCATTCATACTATCCTTGTGGAATTTCTGTAACCACTGGGTTTTTTGCTACTTCTACATGGAATAATCACCTCCTCCATCTGCAAACTAAAATTCAACTTCTAAAGTGAAAATTGTAATGATAATCACTTCAATAGAGTATGAGAACACCACAAACTATTTAGCTCTTTACTATTCATAGTTATTTTTTATTTCCCACAACTAATAATCATTATAATTCAAGCTTTCCTATTTTAATATGTGCCATTTAAACCTGCTCTAAAAACAACACATTATAGCTTTTATGTTGTTCATAAACATCATCGAATCATAAACTCTCACCATTGTTTCCTTTCAGTCTTTAGTGTAGTTATTTGCATCACTGGAAAATTGCAAGAAGCATTCATTTGTGTTTTATTTCTATTTCTTCCTTTCACTTGGATTTGCAAATAAGAGCACTGGTTTCCCTGATAATCCTATTTTCTTCTAAAGATGCTATTATTTTGTTGACTGATAGTTTCATTAATAAGTATAATTACCATCTGCCAAGGTACATCTTAAATTATCCAGTAATTGCATGCATATGAGTTTTCAATTTTGGAAACTGAGCTCTATAAAAGACACTCCCCTCCTTTATTCAAGTCAGATAGAGTTACAGGTGTATTTCTCAAACAATCATATTTGTAAATCCACTTTGCTTTTTTGTTATTGCAACACTGTAAGACTAATGTAAAATTTCACCATCCTTTCTATGAATACTGTTACTTAATGTTAAGTTTAATATCTAAACGATTATTCTTTTATCCTTATTGTTTTCTCATGTGATATGATTTTTGAAAGACAAAAATAATATTTGGTTTTCTCATACTATGGTTAAAAAATAAGAATCAATTAAAATCTTTTGGCTATTTTGATAGAAAAAAAAATACCCTGGTTCCTAGTGAAAAGAAGACTGAGGAGGATTTTTAGTTTCATTCCAGTCTAAAGCTGTTTTTGAAAATAAAGGGGACATATACCTCTATAACTATGTATCTCTTTCAATTTTATTAAAGACATTTTATTTCTCCTGCCAAAATTATTTAAGAAAAATACTTATCTTTGGCTGAAAATTCCAATTACACACAAAGTCAGAATTCTCCTAAGGAATCAAAACAATATTTTTCCTTTTTATAAAAGATTCCTTTTCTCTTAATTTTCATTCAGCCATATTTCCCTTCATGTCTTCTCTCTATATTTTTACTTTAAACCATATATATTATACAAGACAATGGCCTCTGATTTATTCCATTTGGGATCTGAGATTTAGATGTGGGCAATTTGTAGCATCTGTAAAAAGAATATAATAAAATTACCCATAAGCCCCAAATACAACATGTATGTTGGCCAACAAAACTCTAATAAACAGATCACTGAATTTTAAACCTGGAAGGAGCCTTGGAGAGTATGGAGTCCAACCCCAATACATTATAAGAAAGAAAAAACAAAAACAAAAACAAAACTGAAGCCAAGGGATTTTAAGCCACTGGCCAGTCACACAACTAACTACAAGAGAACAAGGATAGACCCTCGGAGTCCCTGAATCCAATGCTATGCCTTTTATACAAGTCATATATGCTTTCGTGACATAGATTCCCCTCCTGCATCTGCCCGCCAATCCTCACAAGGTGAAAGTAGGGTTAAGTGAGTTTTTCTGTGCCTGAGCAACTACTACGCTCTCATTTGTAAAAGCAAAACTGAAAACATATGACATTTCCATAATAGCAGCTTTTCTCCAAGCCTGTCTTTTCTGTCTGTTCATATACAAGGTACCTAGGGTAATGTCCTCCACAGGCAGTAGCTATTAATCTGACTATTTTTTTTAGAGGAGACAAAGCTAATTTTAGGTTACTGTTTAAAAAAATAATCTCTGTCAATATCTGATCATCTTGGAAATTCTTTACAGGCTTGTTTTTATGCTCTATGTCCGAAGAAATCTGTAGGTATTAAGATTGGTGTTTGAAATGTGCACGCTGGCAGGCCTGCATTTAAAGGTATATTTTTTATGAAAGATAAAAAGTAGCTGATTATACATACTCGCAGAAACCCTATAGAGAATGGACTCCAGGTAACTGACTGCGGAGGAGCGGGCAAGCTCAAGCCCCCCCTCCCTTCCACCTCTGCTCTGCTAATTACCAACCAAGCCCTCCCAAGAATATCTCCTTTGATGATCAAGCAGTGTCTGATAAGGGAGGAAAGGAAGTGCAGGGCACTTCCCGTGAGGGGGAGAGAGAGGTTCTGTGAGCTCTTCCCGGTGATTAGAGCTGGGGAAGTTGATCTCTTTTTATGCTGTGGATGTGGCTGCTGCAGTCACGCCTCTGCTGCCAGCCCAGCACCAGGATCTTAATCAGTCACTATGAAAACTCATTAGCTCCACAGCAATGAGTTCTCCACTGCTGAAGCTTGGCGCTGTGCTTAGTACCATGGCAATGATCTCAAACTGGATGTCCCAAACTCTACCATCCTTGGTAGGACTGAATTCCACAAGGCTGTCGACGACAGATGCCTTAGTAAGTCACCCCGTGGGTCTGGACATCTTGGGAAGTTAAGTGTATTAAACCAGTGGGCTTTATTTTGTAAGCTGCAAAGGCTGAGATTTTGCTTCTCTATGCGGTAACTTTAGTCATGGGTTTTTTTAATGGAAACTTTAAAATGACACCAAAAACAAATAATTGCCCAAGAAATTACTTGTGAAAGAAAATACCACATTCATTAAATTTTTAAATAGAAAAAGCTTTAACTTGACTATATTCACTCGAGGTTTGAAAGGATTCTTAAAGAAATATGTTTTGTTTCTTATTATTTTACTTCTTTTAATGTATGTAAAATTCCCTTAATTTTTTTCTATGAAGTATAGTACAAAGTCTAGTCTTTCTGATCTAGTTGTAGTATAGCAGATTCTTCCTTGGAATTGAGTTCTGTGATTGAATTCTGTGATTGTTTGCAATGCATTCAGAGAAACTAACCTCTTTTAAACATATATGAATTTTTAAAAAACCTTAGCAATTTAAAGCCTGCCAAAAAGATGTTAAGAGCCAAGAAACACAAAGAATAGATAACTTACATGATAAAATCATCTCCTTGTATAGTTTAATTTTTTATAAAGACTTCTATTACGAGTCTAAGTCCTGTAGTCTTCAATCGCCTAAAAGTAATGGCTTTTTAACTCTTCCCAATTTATGACAAAGTCTATTCTAATAGTTTGGAGCATGGTTTAGTTAGCAATACTTTAAAATCTTTAAAATAAAAATGAAAACTATTGGTTTTTTAAATAAAAGTTTACAAATTCAAACAGAAGGAATATCTTGGAAAAACAATTTCCCTGCTATGGAACCAAGGCACAGAAACAATTAGTGTTTGGAGCACTTTTTTATCTTTATCTGTTTTTATCACCGGATTACTCTAATGGATCAGAAAAAGTCAGATACTGAAAGAAAAGTAACTATATTCAAGACTTGTTTGTATTAATAATAATTAATCTATCAATCAATGTGTAATTAACTTAGTAGAGTCAGGTCAAATCAATTACATAATTTCACAGGTTCGCCCAGTGCTGAGGGCACCAGGAGAGCACATGTGAGGCACACTTTGACCTGCTTTTGTGTTTTTATCTCCCTCCAGTCACTTAAGAAACCTCTGTGCCCCAGTTATTGAGATTCTCCTCCTTACCTACATGATTTGCGTGTGGTTAGTGGGATGTAAAGGAGATCTGTGGTTATAAAGAAAGCATGATATGTCATCAATGAACAATTACAAAATAAAGAAATACAATATTTAATATTTACTGAGCCAAATTTTCAAGTGTCTGATGGTTTTCAACAACTTAACTGTTGAATTAACTCTTTCGGAAAGTGAATCTAAACTAAGAAATTCGTAACTGAGTTATATTTCAAACTTGGTCCCTTGGTTCTCAGATATATTTATTATTTTTGTGTATATAGACATTGGTTTAGTTTCTTCTCTCTGTTGATGATAGAAGAGAATCAAATTTCCAAAATGATGTGATTCTTTCAGGGCTTCTAGCTATCTTGTAAGTTTAAAGTAAATTTATTTTCTTTACTTTTGTTTGGTAATCTGTTGGTTGAAAAATATAAAGCAATGCTGTGATCTACAAAGGTGATGACACAACCAAATATTCCTTTGGATGAAAACAAAAGGAAGTTCAGGAAAGTTTGCACTATGGTATTTACTGAAATGGATGAAGAAACCAGGTTGCAAAAGCTTGTTGTTTTTTTTTCTTCTCTTCTGCGTGTTTTACAGAATGGCTACCTTACTGAGGAATGGTGTCCACTGTGACATTTCCCTACCTTAATTATTCAAGATAATTGCTCATACTTTAGGATTCCCGTGGTGAAAAATGAATGAATCTGTATTTCCTAATTAAGCTCATAAAATGTTAATGCTGGAAAGGCTCTTAGAAACCATCCAGGCCAGTAATTTTCACACTGTTTTTGGCAGCAGTGCCTTTTTTTCCCAAATTAAATCTTATGTAAACATACTGAATAAATATTTGTTGAATCAAATTTGAAGTGGAAATCCAATATATAAAACAGGTCATTGGTCAAACAAATAATAAATGATGGAGGGAGCATTTATCAGGTGGGCCTCCACCACCTGCTCCCTCCCCATACAATCGAGCCCTTGCCCTAGTCAAGATACCTCCAGAGAAACCTTAGAGCTCTCAAGAGTTTAGCTGGAAATGTGGCTAATCTAACCCAGCTTCCTCATTCTACAAGTGGGAACATGGACCCAAAATGTGTAACTGACTAAACAGATTTCCCCAGCTGGTTAATGACAGAGAGAAGGGCAGAAGCAAGTCACGTGACTGCAGTCCTGGGCAAGGAAGTCCTTTAACTCACATTCGCTAGCCTTTGCCCTCCTGGCCCTGGGTGCCACACTAGGTTCTTTCTGCCCTACTCAGGTGGTTTCCGATGACCTTGGACTCCACTTTTCTTAGATTGAAGCATTAACAATTCCCTTCCCCGTAGGCAGTGCTATGTTGCCCAGCCCTTCCCACCTTTCTCACTCTATGTTCTTATGTTAGATGTTATGAATGAGATGGGCCTGCAACTGTGCATACACCGAAATTAAAAAAAAAAAGACAAGTCTTAAAAATTTTTTTAAGAGTGTTTGTAGCATGTACAGATGGTAAAAAGTACAGATTTACACAAATATGAACATAGTCTTTCTCTGAAGGGTAGTTTTAAATAATCTGAAATGAAATTTTAAATGGAGTTTTAAATGAAAAAAAATAAAAAATATAGGGTTTTAATTATTAAATGTCAATTAAATCTGTTTATGGCAGGTGTCTCTGAAATTGGCAGTGTACGTTTGATTGTTTCAAAGCTAAAAAAGGTTTTTAAATTTCCAGGATATTTTTGTTAGTAAGTAGTTAAATACAGCTCCCTCTTAAGGAAATAAGCTCCTTCTTCTTTTTTTAGAATCCTGAAAAATTCCTTTATCCTTCTCTTTGGCCCTGTTTTCTATCTTTTTTTATCCTTCAAATCTATCACTGAGCCCACCAAGCTTTGGAGGAGCTGGTGTCTGCAGAGGCAAAGCCTCCATTCTGAGAGAGCTCAAGCTTTTTCTGACACTTGTCTCTGGTGCAGAGTTACTTCTCCTTGAGGCTGAGCTTCTAAGAAGTCCCCCACGCTGTGGACTCCACACCAGGAAGAGCCTGGAGAAGAGCAACTGAACAGAGGACATTCAGTAGACACCAGCTGTTCTCATTCAGCCCAACCGCTGAGGTGGAAAGAGGCCTCAAAGGGCCCTGTGGGCAGAAGAGATTAGTTTTGCTCATTTTCAAACATATAGCTGGCTTTTCCTCTTACACAAGTACTTGAATGAGTTAGTTTTAAGTGCTACGAAAGAAGCAGAATACCCTGATACAAACTCTCAATATTCTGTAAGTTTCTTACCTTCAATTCACCAACTTTTTTTTAGACCTAGATGAAGATATCTGACTTCTCTGTTTTGTATGACTGTTTTTCTTCCCAAGTCCTTAGACAATGTCCATTTTGTGAAAGAGCAAATAAACAAATTAAGGACTGGGAGATGGATGAGAGAACAGAATGGCAAATCTTGAGAGCCACAGAGAATGTGATCATTGCCTTTTTAGAATGGAATTGTGACACATAAGAATGTGGATTTGTTCTTGCAGAAGTAGGTCCAAATGGAGAAAATTACAGAGAAAAGTTCAAATTCAGCCCCTTAGCTTTCCACCGGTGGAAGGAGCTACCTACGAAGCAGTGAAATTCCTATTATGCAGAGTTCAAGTGGAAACACAGGAAGAATACATAAAAGAAGTATCATTGAGCGGAAAGACACAGGACCACTTATGACTTCCCAACTCCAAATCATTATGATTTCCAGAGTACGAGCAAAAGTGACCTACTGACCTAAATTTGATGATGTCTTTGAGTTTTTGTTTATTTTTCTGTTTTTATAGTTGTTTTTTTCTTAGAGCCTTAAGGTTTTCCTGAGTGAACAATATGCATTTATTTCAGTTCCAACCAGCCTCATAAGAAATAGGAAGAAAACTGCAATATAGTGACATCTTTATTAACACATCCTCCAGAACACGGCTTCTTTTAGCATGGTCTGTCAACATCTCTCTAATTCCTGTCTTCACATTTCTCCTCTCTCCACAACTAAAGCCATTAGCATGCCAAATCACATTTCAACTGTCTGGGACGAAACCCATCCTCAGACCAAATTTGTAAGGGGTTTTCATCACTCAGGTTTCTCCACTCTAAATCAAACAGGTTTTAGTAAATGGATTTTTTTTTCTGCTTTATCTTCCCCTACCTTGTACACTACTTTCAGTACCTAGATCCCTTATTCTTTTTTGCCTCACTCTGAACTTTTATGAAATTCCCAGAAACTCAGCATAAAACATAAGACCTACCAATGTTCAACCAAATGATTTTGTCCTTTTCAAAAGATCAGAATTCTCTCTTTGCCTAGCCCTCCACCGGGGCCCTAATGAATGACGGCACTGCCTTCCACGGGAAAATCCACTTGCGTCCCTGAGCCCTCACTGCTAACTACTCCTGCCGGGTGCCAATGGCTACTTGTTTCCAACTGTTTGGATAATGCCCTCTGCCTGCCTGGGGGCATCGCCTCTAAAGCACACTATTTTGGCTATTGGCAAATGGACATAGACCATTTATCTGCATTTATTAGAAAAGAATAAACCTAATGACTTCCAAGCTTGATGATGGAGAAAACTGGTATAAGTCTCACATATGACATTTACTAAATGGGTGATGGGGAAAAAATGCTTATTTTTTTAAATTTGTTTCCTTATAAGTAAAATAAGATACTGACTCTAAGGGTAGTTGGTTCAAAAGAAATGAAGCTAATATAAGAGAAAGGATTTTATAAACACAAAAACCTACTGAAATGCAAGATATTTTGATATTTTTAACTTCTATCTCAGTTTCCAGGATCCTTCTTTTCTAGTACAAAGCCCCTGAAGTTTTGGGATAAATCTCGCACAGTAGCTTTATACCGATACAGCATAGTTTTATAATTAAATTATAAACAAAGAATACAGACTTGAAATCCAGTTGTTAAAATTATCATTTTCATTCCCCTATTTAGAGCATTCTTAAATATTTCATGAGTTTTATAATATTAAAAACTGCTAAATAGTTCATTTAGTTCTTCTAATTAACACAAAAGGTTCAAAGAGAACTATATCAGTCATCACTGTGATTAGCAACGTTTTAGATGGTTAAAAACGATCTGCACCCTCCAGGTGGACTTCACAGTTCAGAAAATGCTATCAGGGTCATCATCATCATATATAAAGAGAATTCAGATCACTGGTGGTTAAATTTTCAGGCTCCAAAATCAGACTGTGCAAGTACCAATCCCAGCTCTGCTGATTACTGGCCTCCATGACCTTGGACCAAGTTCCTGACTGTCTCTAAGCCTCACTTTTTTCATCCATAAAATGGGCAGAATAGCATCCCCTGGTCCACATGATTGTTGTGATTTTCAAAGGCAATAACACATGTGAACTGCCAATTAATGGCTAGAGCTCCATAAATGTTTGCCATTATTACATGTTTTGCTGACACTTGAATAATTGCTCTTTTAAATTAAAATGGGAGCAAGTCTTTTCTCATTGGTATCCAAACAATTTAAATATTTCCTTCCACATGAGGTCTTAGTTGGTTTTATTTTTATCCTCTTTTCAAAGCCAGTATGGGTGTCCTAAAAGAGGTCACTAGAGATGCTTATAAAGCTTCCTTTATCACTGACCCTGAAACAGAGGTCTCTATCAAAACCCACAGGACTGTCAGGCACTCATCTCTTATATTAGCTTCTTTCTCTTTTGTGTTACCTTTTTCCTGCCAAAGAGGTTAACTCGTTATAGTTGAGATCATTTAAACTAACTCTGTAGTAGAGAAGGTCATGGCTTTTTTCAGTGATTCTTACAAGACAATTGGAAGTACAAACAAGGCTCAAGTCTTTACTTTTATTAAGCTGACACTTCAGGGGAATGCTAAATGAACATCAAACCCTGTTCACCTTTCCTGCTTTTCTCATTCCAGAGAGCAACTGACATCCTGTCCTGTCATGATAAGCTCCTCACTAGTTAGCCAAACACTTGGCAAGTGAGAATCAATATTAATGGTGCCAGGTTTAATAATCAGTGTTTGCACTGCTGTTAAAGATATTTTAATATTACAATTGGGTGATCCCTGTTCCTTTATCCAAAAGCTAAATTTATTCTAGTGACAAGCCTTAATTTTCTGACATATTTGAGATTTAGGTTCAATGTGAGAAGCCTAGCTGAAACTACAGGATCTATGTCTAGATATAGCAATCCCATACGTTACTCAGCTTAAATCTTTAATTATATCATTGAAACTACTCTGCTAAGCTGTTTCTATCTCCATTCTGTAGATAATCTCTCTGTATTTTTCTTCTTTAATACAGAAAGAATAGTGCAATAACTTTTAAGATCCTATCTGGCTTTAATAATATATAACTCTGAGTACATCTTTCTATCCTAACTGGATATTCAGGTATAAGCTTTAGAAGGAAAGAGGGGGATGGAAAAAAAAAAAGAAATGATAATGAATTCAATGCCCCAGAAATGAAAGAGGCACAGGAGACTTCTATGAACTATCTAAAAAAGGAGTTTAAGGAGACTAAAAAGAAAGGTTTGGCATCATTTGCTTTCCATTATATATCAATAATGAGGACTATCACATCTTTACATGTTACTTGAGTTTATAATTTATAGCTTCCTCAATATTTGCTCATGACTATTGTTGGAATGCCTATCATTACCCCTAGTGATTATCGCTAAAGCCCTTGAAAAGAAAAAGAACTGTGTGTTAGTTGACAGTATGTGATAAGCTTCCTGGGACTGAATAAACAGGAAATTGTATTTCCTTCTCTGTGAATTCCAGAGAAGGAAAACCTCACAGAATGTGGCAGATCTGTGGAGAGAGAAGTCAGCCTGATTTAGTCGTTTTTAAGAATTTGCTTCTGACCAGTCTATAGGTAAACTGACCAGCCCAGTAACACTGGGCATTCTGCAAGATAATGTTCTGCTGGCCTCCATTCACCTCCTTGCTCCTTGCCCCAGCTCAGCTCCTGACCCTCAGCCCGTTCTCAATCTTCCTTGGCCTAGCCCCTCCAACCCAATTCATTAAATACTTTATTTCCTAGACTAAATACAGTTCCCTCTTCTCCCAATCAAAAACAAAACACCTCCCTATCTGCTGCATCCCTAGAAACCATAATAGGAAAACTAAAGAATAGCAGGTCCCAGCTGTAGAAGACAGTGCTTAGAAGGAGGCCCATTGATTTACCTGATATTTCCATAGGAAAAACAAATTCAGGTGCAAACTGGATGGCTTGTCTATATAATATCTGTTAGGTAGTTTTTTCAATATCCATGTGATTGACCTTTAAAAACAATTATCTGGCTATTCAGCATTATACTGACATGGCCATAGTGCCGGAATTAAAAGCGAGACTCCAGAGCTGTACTGTCCAATAAGGAGGCCACAGGTGGCTCGTGAGCACTGAAGATGTGGCTAGCCCAAACCGAGGTGTGCCCGAAGTGAAAATGCCACTCGGTTTCAAAGACAGTACAAAAAAGGGAAAACATAGAATGTAAAGTATCTCATGAATATCAATCAGATGTTGAAATAAAAATATTTTTGATATACTTAACATATATATTAAAATTAATTTTACTTGTTTCTTTTTTCTTTTACACATGGCTACCAGAAAATTTTTAAGTTACACATGTGGCTCTCATTAATTTCTATTGAAAAGTTCTGTGCTGGAACATACTGCCCTGCTTCATGCACAGCTCTGCCTCACACAAGCTGGGCATTCTCAGGCAGGTTAATTAATGCTCTCTTCTGTGAAATGGGAACAATAATAATTCCTGTTCCTTTGTACCTCTGCATCAGCAAGTCGATGGACGTGAGCCGTTTCTTGGAACAGGGCCTGACCTTGAGCAGACAGTGCTCTTCAGCCTAGGTGATCCCCAAAGAGAAAAGCGACAGAGTCCCCCTGCCGGTACTCTCGAGGGCTGGAGGAACGAGGAGCGCCTCTCTGAGCCGTGCATCACGGCATCCACCAGGACTCTGTACAATGCGGAGTATACGCGCGAAGCATAGTTCTTCCTGAAAATAACTAGATAAAAAATGAGGCGACTTATCTTTGTTCTTCATAAAATCTTGATATGGCAGAAGGGAGAAAGCCAATAGATCTTGTAGCTGGATATAAACTTATTGTTGAAATAAGAAAAATGAGAGACAAATATCAATACTAGAGAATATACATTAAAAACCTAATAAATAGTATGGACAGTCCTTCAGAAGTGGTGGAATCCATGAGGGCTGAGAAAACTGAAGGTGTATAAAGGAGGTATTTCAAGCAAGAAAAGCAAAATGAGTAACACAAATATGAATCAAGGAGGCATGCTTTCAGGACACACATAGACCAGTTTGGTTGGAGAACTTTCCTGTAGGAAGATACAGGAGGCAAACCTAAAAATTTAACAGGAAGCAGACTGCAGTAGAAATGGAACACAGCTTCGAGCTAGAGTTCTAGGGGGCAGGAGTAATTTGGGAAGATCAATTTGGCAGACTATGCCAAAATACTCTAACTCCTCTGGGACGCTGTATCCTTTGCAAAACTGTGTGGATCTAATTATTTTCACTCTGTATTCTCATATGATACCTTTCCAGCTTTATTAATAATTGGCCCTTTAATACTTAGGAAGCTTCTTGGGATAGGGCTTTGCTTCAGAATATCACACATGAATAATAATCAGAAAAAAATATACTACTAATTACCATTTACTGTTGAGAAAGACAAGCTAACAGATTTTATATAGAAAGAGTGGTCATATGTCTCTAAGAGGTTATCGGATGCTTCTAAAGTTGCATTAATATGTCCAAATATAACAATGGTATAGCATCAATAAATGATTAACAATATGGAACCTAAAATAAGAGAAAGATTCTCCCTCTGGGCATGATAAGGAAGGTGTAACTGAATGAAGCTGTGCTGCCTGTGCTGCCTATGTAAGCTGTTTACTCTCCTTTTAACCTTAAAGAATAAAAATACAAACATTACTTATCAGAAAAAGATGCTTTGTTTAAAATGCTACAGACTCACAATCTCTTTATCCTATAATGGGGTCTGTGTTCTGTGTATCTGCCATTGGTCTCCTCAGACCCAGATTAGTCCCAAAGAAGGCTGGCAAGTGTACAGCTCAGCACAGGATCCCGACGGGCGATGCATTTGCACAGTGGTTGCTCCGGAACAGAACCTGTGTTCCCGGGATGCCAAAAGCAGGCAGCTTCGCCAACTGCTGGAAAAGGTAGGTGTCCTGTGTCCCCTGCGCATATTTTTACTGAAATCTACCATTCGTTGAAAGGAAATGTAAGAAGGCAGATAATGGTGAGGAGGGTCTAAATTTTTGTCCCCCTTCTCAAATAAATTTTTTCCCTTTCCTTGAAAGGAGTACCCCAAGCTTCCTGTTCTATTCCACTTATGACTTTTTACTTTTCCCAACCCTTCCTTCTTAAGACTGGTTCTCTATCATATATCTTAATATCTAATCTGTGCCTCTTAAAAAAAAAAGGACAAGAAGTCTGATTGTGAAGCCAGAAATTTAGCCTCAGCTCTCAGAATCACACTATGCTCCTTGAGCTCGTACTTTTGGATCCCATCACCAACCTTGCACAGAAGTTAAAATAATAGCATGCAATATGCAAGCTATCTGAACAGATAATGAATAATTCCAAGTATTTATCATCATTCTCTAAGTCATTCCTTTGAACATTAAGCTCTTCAATTTCATTCAACGGCATTCTCTCCATATAATTTACTTAAGCCGGATCCATAACAATCAAATGCAGAATGCCCTTGATTCATTCTCTTTGATAGATAAAAGTCAGCTCACAAAAGGTTATTTATGTTTAGTTTGGGGAGGGAAAAAAAACAATAAATGGTTCTCTCGATTATTCTCATTCAGACTTTTAGTTTGTTGGGTTCTGAATATAATAGGACAGCTGGGTTGGCCAAGCTGATGGAAGGATGAAAATGCATTTGAATTTTAAATACTATCAGGGATAATAACATAAATCAGGTGGTATGTGCTTTTAGAGGACGCCACACTCCCTCTGTGCGATATCCTTCCCATGATTGTCCTCACAATGATGGCACTGAATGGGAGCTTTTTATGGAAAATTAAGAGCAGGTAGAAGAATGAAAGCATCAAACAGATGAATACAGACATTCCTACTTTATGTAATATCAAGCCTAGCCACAGTAACTTTCTTTCACTGCCATATCTAAAAATAAGTTCCCTCTGTGTACATTATTTGAAGTCTATTGACGCCCTAAGATTTTTAAAATATTTTTGTCATGTTTTTGCACAAAGATTAGTCTGTTTTTCTTCCCCTTCTCCTAGTCCTGTTATCATATATTGGCTCTCTCTTAAGTATTGTTTTATGACAAGATCCCATCCTTCCTATTCCTTCAATATCTGTCCTCCAGCCAAGAGCAAATGTCATTTCGTTCAAGTTAGTAAGTCTCTCACTGGTTAGAAATCATGACATGTGAACTATGATTAGTCGGGTATTATGTTCAATTTTGATTTTATTTCTATGAAAAAAATATCTCAGATATATAGTTTAATATTGTTTGGTTACTAGGAAAATTAATTACATTGACAAAAAGATTTTGCTTTGTTTTCCTATTAAAATGTATTGTTCCTCGGATTGCTGTTTTTCTGCTCCAATCTTCTATGAAGAAAAAAAAAATTTTTTTCTACAACAGCTGTGGTAAGGAACATTTTCTTAGACATCATAACCTTATTTTGTTATTATTTTTCAGTATAGCATTGCACATACACACCCACACCTAGACTCAGACATTTCCTCAAAAAATCAGTTGAAAAAATTCATATAAAGCCTTAATGTCAGGAAGTAGATAATACCCTCTACAGGTCCAAAGTGAAGTGTATTCCAGAGCTATGATAAAACCAGGAAATAGTAAAGGATGACTAAGGCAAAAAAGTACAACTAACAAGGTTGGTTGAAAACAACCACTGAAATTTATATGACCACTCCTTTCAATATGCAATTTCTTTAATGCTTTAAAGAAATTTGAGAAAGTCACACCTTTGAAAATTCATCAATACCTAAATGACAAAAAGTATTAGCAAAATCAAGATCTCTGCAAGTTAGATTTATCAAATTTACCATCTGGTAATGTTATGCCAACAGAGGAATAGTAAATTGTGCACACTATTTAGAGTGGCCTGAAGGAAGTAGCACTGGCTTGCTGTGCTGACCTAAAGAAAAGACATCTGAAATAAGCATTCCTTATTCAGACCGAGCTAGTCCCTTGCTGACTTCTCTATAGTTTCACATATATTCAAGGTACCAGAGGGCAAACAAGAGAATGACCTTTGCATTCACCATTAATCAAAGGATTGGTTTAGTAACAATAGTTAATAACAATAGTTCCCATCTAATATATTTGTATCTACTCCATTCAATCCTCACAGCAGAAGTAGTTTTCTTTCTAACTTTTCATAAAAGGAAACGTGCTTTTGAGGTTAACAAGCCTGCTAGCGTCACTCAACTAGTAGACTGTGGAGCTAAACAAATCAGTTTTGCATTTTCTCAACACCATGGCGAGTGTCATCCATAATGTCACTGGTGGCACCCACGTTCATTTAAGTGATGCTCTGTCAAACTATGTTAACAGTATTTCTATCACTGAATATTAGAAAAATTACAATTGGTTTCATGATGTTTCAGGTTTTAATACGCCCAAACTAAAATTGTTCACTTAAAAAAAAATATTTGTTAGCTGTACAGCTTCTCTGTATAGTTAAAGATGTTCTGCATTGTCTAGGTCAATATTTCCTAAAGCGTGATTTTTGGCATAGGATGCCAGTGACATCGTCGCCAATAAAATCATTTTAATAAACACAGTACATGATACTTCACTCTTGAAGGTTTCAACCACAGTTTAATACTAAAGTTTCTGTGAAGCCCTACGGTTAGGAAATTTCTGTTTATTTCTGTTAACCTCAAGGCTATCTAAACATATTGAACTGTTGGACTTTTTTTTTAAAGTAGCCTCCACATTGTGAATAAGAGTGAACATCAGAGACAAGCAGGCTAAAAGAAGCAGCACAGGAGATGGGTCTTCTTCCGACAAGTGTGATCACTCTCTAGTGTCATCAGTGGGTTTGTGTAACCAGTGGGAAACTAAACAGTCCTAGCTACAGCCAGCAAGAAGAGCAAAAGGCAGCCCAGAGCCAGATCCTTTCCAATGAGACAACTCTATCTCTAGCCGTTACCCCAAATCAGCTCTTGTAATTACATGTGATTTTGCAGCATAGGTTATAATCGAGACTCAGCAAAAATTTTCTCAGTGCATTTTCCCACAACGCAAATAAAGTTGAAAATGAACTTCACAGGGTAGGCCAGAGGTAAAATAAAAAAGAGGCTGTTTTTTAACTTTACCCAGATTATCTCTTGCCCATCATTTTCTAATTGTACAGACTCTGCCCCAGTACATAGAATTCCTAGGAGAATATCAGCCATGCCAATGACTGGAGTCTTCACAGACAAATGCCATATTCAAATGTGAAGATAGTTTTTTTTTTTTTTTTTTTTTAATGCAAATGGATTTTCTTTACTCACTTTTAACCAAAATGAAGCAGAAAATTATTTTAAAAGCATTACATTTATCCCAGATGCAGTTATCATGCTTTTAATGTCTCAGTAATTTTGTGCTGCATTAAAGATTTTTAAAAATTAAGCTTTCTGAATGCAGAAGCGATAGTAAATTAATAAATATTTGGGAGTCATATAATGCTATAGCCTTACCAATGAAAAGAGAAGGAAACTTTCCTTAAAACATTAAAATACTAATTACCCATTACCGCCATTGGAAGCCTAAGATAACTTTACCCAATAGATATTTATCGAGCAATTACTCTGTGCCTGGTTCTGTGCAAGGCCTTGGAAGTAAAAGATATTAATAAACACAGCTTCCAAAATCATGGAGCTCACAGAAGGAGCCATTTCTCTGCTCCCACCAACGCATACATTATCCAATTAGTTTTAATATAAGCTAGACTGTAATTAATTTGTCCCGAAAAGACAGGTCTCATGAAGGGCAGGATTACAGACCAAGACAGCAAAAAAATAATCAGGAAAATGTGACCTTCTCTGACAAGAAAAGTAGAGGACTGAGGCAAGCCAAGACAGAAGAATCCACTGCTTTTCCTGAAAGTGCCAATTCTGAGGAATATTATCAACAATGGGCTCTTTAGAGATGGCCAGTCCACTGAGCTTTGTGACTTTACCTGATGACAAAAATTTGTCTCTGAACAAATCATCCATTCCTTAGTTATGTCAATTTTTGCAATGAAAATGACTTTTTACTTATTACATAAATACATGTTAATTAAAAAGTAAATTGAATAACACATAAAAATACATGAAACAAAGTAAAGCTCACCTGAAATCTCACTACTATTTTTTTTTTGCTGTCCAAGATTTCATGTATTCACTCATGCAGATAAAATATAACTATGCAGATGGTTTATGCATGTTTAACAGTACCTCTTTCTACAATATTTTATTACCTCTCTTCACATCCACACCTCATCTCCTGCCAGAAAACTAGCATTCACAACCTAACATTTATCCTTCTAAATCTTCCATACCTTTATGATTTTTTGCTTATATAGTCCATTTTCTTTTACATGTGTGTGTCCACCTTGTGTGCATGAGAGAAAGACAGAGTGAGAGGGTGAGAGAGCAAGAAAGCGAGGGGAGAATTTGACTTAGAATTAAAAAATAAAATTATAGAAAGATTTTTATGTTAGCTTTTCTCATTTGCTTTTCTCATGGAAATCCCTCCGTGCTGAGCAGTGCTTCTCAAAATTTAATGGACAAAGCAATCACTTGAGAATCGATAAAATGCAGGTGCTGATTTAGTAGCCTCCCAAGAGTCTGCATTTCTGAGAAGTTCCCAGTAGGATGCCAAAGCTGTTGCTCTCTAGACAATACTTTGAGAACCACAGGTGGAAAGAGCTATCTTATTCTTTAAAATAGTTTATTCGCATCCCATTTCTCAATTCATTCCACAGCTCTCCTCCTATTAGAGGCTTTCTCTTTGTTTTCAGAATTTTGCTGCCACAACAATTACAGCAGCCTTTCTTTCCTTGTTTGTACATGCTTTATGGGACACCTATTTCCTACTTCTAAATAGCCTGGGGCTCAATGAACCTAGGGTGGTGCCATCGGCCTAACATGTGTTTACTGCTCCTCTACCAAATACTTGATACAGATGCCAGGTCTCTTCAACAGCGTGCTCTGCCGGGTAGGAGGCGTCCCAGCACCACCCCCACTGGTCTTGGTCAATGCAGTCTCACCCCTGGGAGCACTGGCAGTGCAGCTTGTAGTAACTGTACTGGAATGAATGCATTCTAGGTCTGTTGGATTCGTCAGTATCATCCACAATTGCCAAGCATCCCAGATCTTGAAGAAGTCAGATTTAGTACTTATAGAAACGGTCTATTTTAACATTTAACAGACTGGGGCATTATAAGCTTACAAAGCCCTAGAATAAAAATTTTACTTTTCAAAAATTTATTTTTATGACATGTTAAATTCTCATTTATATGGTCATTTCTAATGCTAGAATGTCCATTTTGTTATTTAACTTGCTGGATTGTTTCAATGTTTATCATGAAGTACTGTCCTCCCAAAAATATGTCATGTAGAAATGCAGTTATGGATTGGGTATTTCCAGTTCTTTAGGCTAATGTCATTTTTTGCTATTTTAGTAGTGATTGTATATACCTGTAAACGGACAATAATTTACAGTCAATGTTCTTGTCTAACAGGTTCAGAACATGTCCCAGTCTATTGAAGTCTTAAATTTGAGAACCCAGAGAGATTTCCAATATGTTCTAAAAATGGAAACCCAAATG